TTCAGTTCACTTTAGGAAGATCCACATGTATGATTAGCTGCTCAAGTGAGAGTCACTACCCAGTGAGTCATGTTAGGGCACCACCCACTCTAATCCAAACATCAGGATTTCACGCAAACCTTACAACTGAGTTGCCACTAGGGTCTCTAGTTCTGTTGTGTGGAAACACACTAAAAATAGGAGCTTCACCCTTCCTCAAAGTACAGAAAGAGAACAGCAGGTTGTTCTGCTAGACTATTTAAAAGAGTGGCATGTCCAACATTTTTCACCATCAACTTTTTAATTGCTAGGATTAAAACCATGCATTTCAGATTAGTTACTAATAGATGGCATATGTCCACAGGTTCACAAAATCACACACCAAAACACTACTTCCTCTTTGCATCAGACTTAAGTATTCTGCCAAGAAGAAACTTAAGTGATTCAACTAACAAGGCAAACTTAGTGACCTTCATCCCAGTATATGGAAACAATCAGCAAATGAAATATTGTAATTCTGGCAGTGAGGGTTTGGGGATTTTTAGGTATCAAATTGCAGATAGCAAAATAAAAAGTTTGTTATTCTCAACAATACAAAACAATTAGTCTTATCTCCACTTTCCAAGGCTTACAACCTTGTCCTGGGTTCAGCTAGGGTAGAGTTTATCAAAGATCAATCACTGGACATACCGGGTCACTTTGACACAATGTGCGTTCTAAATGAGGAATTCAGTATAAACCACTTAAATGTCCACAGAAGGCTTCACAAGAACCCATAATTAGTTAAACTACAGAAGACAGGAATTAGCATGAGCATGGATAAAGAACTTGTAAGAAAGAACAAAGGCTGTGTTGAAAAGGGAATTTGTAGAATTCTGTTAAGTTGGTCTGGGATCAATTCCAAGTTTTTTCCTAACTGAGTAGGGTACAAAAGTTAGGAATAAGCTAATGATACCTGCTGACAAAACTGTGAGGTGGCACCAATACTGAGAATAATCCAAACCAGGAGAAATATGTGGATCTAGATTTTTTTAATTAAAAGTGTCATAATGCCAGGTCATGCATTTAAATTAGTAATTTTCCTGGCAAATTGGAGTTCAGCTACAAATGACAGCAGGGGCAAGAGATTGGAGTGCTCAATCACGCTACGTGACAGACACCAAGAGGCAAACAAGGAATTTATAATAGAAAAGTATTAATGTATTCTTATATGCATTGATATATATGCTGATGTGGGTATGGTCTTTACCAACTCAAGTTCAAGAAAGGCTGAAATTAAGTTTAAAGTGGGCAGCTAAGTGATCAAAGCATAAACAGTGTGTCAGAAGAAAGGAGATAAAGCTTAATATGTTTAGTAAAATGAAGGATACAGTATGATGGCTATCTATAACAGATTATGAATAAACACCAGGAAAAGTATGAAATAAGAACTTCAGTAAGGACAAAGGAGTTATATTTAAAATAAAATTTAACATATGGTTGGTCAAGACAGGAAAGAACTGAATTTGTGATTCAGGAAACAACTTCTAAGGTAAAGTTAGTGGACATGGAAACCAGAGAAGATGACAACAATGAGGTGTCTGTTAAACACACCAAATTAGCAGCACAAACTTCTTTTCCTCCCCAGAGAAACACATAGCATTGACCCTTTTTTCAGTCACATGAATTTAGAATGTTAAATTTCAATTGCTTTTTAGCTTAACCAGCAAACTAACAGCAATGCAATACTGTTTGCAAGGACTCCCTTTAGGATCTTACTCTAATCTAGTCACCACTACCACCAGAGCTGTTCTGTGCAGCATCAATCCTAAGTACCTGATAGCAGCCATAGGAAACCTGACTGTTGTGTCCTGCCTGTCTACTAATATCTCTTGAAGAATCATCTGTCACCTGCAAGTCTTGCAGCACAACAGAGCACAGGGAAACTAATTACCATCAGGTATCCACAATTTCTATTGTGGTACGCCACCACCTTTCTGCTGCTGAGACTGTCAACAGTTAAGAAACACTGGAGCATTACTGGCTCCCTCCTGCAATTTTAAGAAGGCATTTCTGTCCAAGATAGTTCATCCTGCAAGTATTGATTTTGATAGGTAACACAGAGTACTTTCATGTGTTTGTGGGTTTCACGTACACTTGCTTGAAGTTGTGAACAAGCACAGTCTTGCTATGCTAGGAAGATACCTGAATAAAGTGTAATGTCTGCATGCTAATTAAAATGTGGGTTGTCAGAGGTGTCCATGCTCACTGAAAAACCCACAAGGTTTCGTTGCCTCTTTGTACTGCCAAGAGATGCTTTGCTGAAACTCTGTTCTTTTGTGGAGGCTGACCGAGATGACATGTCTGAGACGGGTCCAAGGCAGCAAGGTGGACTGATTTTATACATTCTTCCAACTTTTGTAACTACACAGTATACCCAAAGGGAACAAGAGAATCAATTGTAACAGTAGACTCTGAATATTGTTATGTATATTGAGGAAAAGAAGTTTTCCAGGAGAATTTCATGCTGAGGTGAAAACTCAAGGTCTGCTCAACTAAGCCAGGATAGAAAAAAAATATCATTTGAGCAATTAAATACTTGTGTGCTAGGAGCTGGTAACAGACCCATTTAGGCGAGGTATTTTAAAGCCTAATACTTACCAGGAAAATATGCACATTGCCAGAAATAAACATCTAATACAGTAATGTCCAGTAAAATTATACTCAGTCAGAGAAGCCATCTAAGAAAAGAAAAAGGCTGAACATGTTACAGAGGATAGAAAAGCTTTTTATTATATTAGTGAGGACACTGATATGACTAAATACAATATAAGGTGTCTATAGAAGCATACCCAGAAAACTATCTATCTATCATCTTGACTATTTAAAGCTAGACTTTGTCAGTTATTTGGAACAATACATCTTAAACAAAACAGAGGAAAAAAAAAAGGAAAAAGAAGTCCCCTAATAAATCCAAGAAGTCTGTTTTACAAATCAATAGCAAGTTAAAGCTTGAAATCCTTGGTGACGTTTCGTGACTCCCAGGCTTTTCCCACCAGATTTTCTTTTGAACTTCATGGTTTTAGGTTTCCATAAAGTAGAACAATTTGAATAAAATACCTTTAGGAGTTCCTGTATAGATTTTCAAACTCCAGAGGAGGAGTGCCTCAGACTCCTATGTAATAATACAGTCCAGGCTTTACAATTAAGCAAAAGGATGCATTACATTTGTGTTTGCAATATTGTCCTTTGTAAGAGTGGCCATTGAAATTTGAAATCAGGCATTCAAAATTCCAGAGTCAAAGTACGGTTCACAATGTGCCGCTCACCCAGTAGAAAAGGACAGAATGGATGGGATCAGATACAAAGTTTTTAAAAGGGCAACTTTTTCCTACTCCAGTTCCAAGCATTTGTCACTGTGCTGTCTGGCAAACAGAACCTATGGATTGTGGGCTCTTCTGACACCTCTGCTTTGCAATGTATCTTTCTACCTAGGAAGACATAATGTCAGTTCCTTATGACTATCATCATTAGTCTTCAGGGACTTGTAAGGACTGGCAAATCCCACAATACCTTTTCTGTATCAATGATCACAAATTGATCTTTCTTCTCAGAACTTTGCATTTTGTGCGTGGCTGCTTATTAAACAGCATAGCTCTTCTTGTAGAGCATTTGAAATCTTTCTTCTTACATTTTATCAGTTTTCCTAACAAGGAATGGTAAGAGTTTACTGCAGAGGAGAGATCAGGGAAACAGTATTATGCTTCCCCCCCCGCTGCAACTTTTTTGCAGTAATTGAGAGGCTTATCCAGCTTTGTTGCTTGCTCTTTTCCTCCACCTGTTTCAAGGCTTAATTTAAAAAACACCTTGACCTAAGAATTTGTGAAATAGTTAAATGGCCATAGTTATGAATATTAAGTCTAAAAGAAAGAAGGGAAAACATTTTTATTCAGACTAATAAAAAACAAGAGCTGAGTTCTAACACTTATTTAATGCTTACGAATAGCATTTTCAAAGAGATTAGAGTCTTTGCTATACCTTCAGTTTTCATGTACCTTGTCCTTTCAGTTAGAACTTAGCAGTCACTGGGGGAATTCTCCAGATTGGAACAACTAGTACAGGATCTACAGATTTGTAACCTGAGTTCCGTTCTTGGATTTATCTGGCAAATTAGCACCAAAATTATTTTGGGGCACTGACTTTGCAGGCTTCTCTAACATTTCCAATTAATTTACCAAACCAGATGTAAGGCATCAGAAATAGTCATTAGTAATTAGGTGGGAGCAGTTAGTTACGTGTTGTAGAAGAGGGATGCTTTTACTCTATTAGGCAAAACCTCCTCAGTATAGCTGAATGGACTTCTAAAGGTAATGGTATTAACTGAGACTGTAAAAAATTACAGCTCAGATTGTTCTTGGCTTGCTCTCAGCTAGAACTTATTTAATGTGAAACAGGTTTTGGGGAGAAAATGGAAAGTTTCTGTTCAGATTTTAGCAGCAGTAGAATCACAAACCAGAAAATTCCTATTTGTTGACACCCAACTTTTAACCTCAAAACTTCATGTAGTTTTACTACACTTTCCTCCTTTTGCAAAGATGGCAACTCCAGCAGCCACACTTGCTTCTCAAGCCCTTTTAACCATGAACTCAGTTGCTGGTTTAATTCTCTGAACCCTCCCTTGAATGAGGGGTTAATGCTATTGACCTTGATTTCCTTTCCCAAAGGATTAGATATGCATAGAAATACCACAATGTAAACTGAATTCGCTGTGTCATACTGTCAGTACCCTGCTGAAGAAGGACATATGCACAGCACCACTAGTAAGCCAGTGACCATTCTGTAATCCTCCATGGAAGAGCAAATTATGTGCAACACAGGAAGCCGTGCTTTAACAGTTGGCAAAAAAACCCAGAGTCAGCTGCAGAATTAGAGTTGACTTACATCCACTCATTTTTTTTCCTGATATGATGTTATCCCTGCTTTCTTTCAAAAGGGAATTCATTATACAATAAATGACGACAGCTTTTTCTGGACAGAAGCCATTCTTGCCATTGCAATGGAACTTTTATTTCAAATACATTCTTACAATAAATGCTGTATTTTGTTATACAAGTAGATAAATCCAAGAAACAAGAGATTCATGTATTCCATTTTAAAATATTGGGCTCAACTAAGCTGCAGCTGTTCCCATTTATTTCTTAAACCATCTTGGGGATTTTTCAGGGGCAATGGAAATAAAGATGTAACCCAAGTCATCTAGGTAATTAAATTAGGGTCCAAGGACATTTGCAGCACCACCATAGAAAAGCATATCTGCTCATTCTTCAGGCTCGCTGAAGTGTAGGGTGGCAGAAGTTTCTTTATAAACTCAGAAGTTTTTCGTTGAGAGCAATCTGTGACTGTGTGAGGTTTGCCAAGTAGGTTACCATCAGTAGGTCCTGAGAGGGGAAGAAAAAACAGTGATCAGAAATATTAACAAAGCTGGAAGCCTATTAGGGAGTTGCATTTTTAACACCTGTAAAACAGTTTACAGTCAGCTACGAGAAATATTGTTAGTCCTGAAAGTTCTACCCTGAGGAATGCTTCCCTTGCAGGAAGGTGGTTTTGGCATTCCTAGAATATGAAACACTGCTTGTGAAATTTTAACTCTGAGTTCATCCATGTTAACCAGGCAAGTCAAAGGGTATAAGCACAATTAAAAATTAGTTCTGCTCTTGCAGACTGTAGGTGAACACCACACTCAGAAACTTAGCTTTCGCTTTCTAAAATTCTGTTACAGAAATAAGGTAGCACACGAAAACCTTGTTCATGTCTTAAGTGTTACGTAAGGAGACAGAATTTCAGCTCAGGCAAAGGAAGCTGGCAAGTCATCGGTTATCCTTGAAATCCATGCTGCTTTAAGCTTGGTAATTCATATAGTCCAATTACTCTAAAAGAATTTGTGCTGGCTTCCAGATTACTTGCATAATTCCTAAGTACTTTAAAACGTATTCTCTCATTTGCAGTTGCTTGCAAGATTGTCAGCTCCTTTATCCACCTTCAGCTCTTAAAACATCAAATTATTGACAAGAAAAACCAGTATCTTCTATTAACGTGTTTGTATGAACAGATAGATTATTTTGATCACAAATTTGTGTCTGTACTTTTTTTCAAAATTTAAATTTAACTAATTTTCAAAATTGCTGGCAACATGCTGAAAAAATTAGATGATGAACTTACATTGATATTGCTGTTCAACATCGTCTCAAAGTCCTCTGGTGAAATCTTTGGCACCTGGTTAATAAGATCCATCAGGAATCGCCCCACAGTGTTGTCAGCAGCCACTTTGCCAGACTAAGCATAAGAAATAGACACTTCAATGTGAGTAAAACTCAGTAAGTCTGTGGCCCAGAAAGAGAATATATAAAAAGAAAACCAAGATGCACAAGCTTACATGAAACTCATCTGCTGGCTAATAAAAAGCTGGCCTTACCAATACATCCTCTGCATACTGGAGCACCATGGTCAGGGTATCCTGAATCCTGGCTGACGCTGACCCCACCTGCTGTAAGTCACTGGACAAGCCAATCACTCGATTAGGGCTAAAACAAGTCTTCATGATAAGATCCACTGAAAGCAAAAAGAGGATCAGTGAAAAAAACTGACTGCCACAGAAGACAGCTTAGAATTTTCACCTTTTGAAGATCTTTTATGACATCTTCAGCGAGACAGTCTAATTCCCAGTAGAATGGCAATTTTACCAGGGTAAAAAAATGCATTTAAGCAGTGTCACAACAATGGTTATAACCAAAATAGGAAAAAAACATTCACCTCCTATCCGCTCCGTATCATAATAAACATATTTCACTGTTAGAGGTGTGAACATCACGCCCATAGTTTTACCAGGGACTCCCATTGGGGCACTAGGAAAAAAAAATAAAAAAAAGACAAAACATTTTCAGCGTGGGCATATTTAAGGGAGGAAGTAACCTATTTCCGTCTCAATGATCTCTGTTAGCACTGAAGCATGAACACGAGTAAGTTACTCATTCTCACTAAAATCAGCAATATTAAGACCAAGGATAACTGAGGACAGGAAATCAGTCCTAGCATTCTATTAATTGCTCATTTTCATCCAAGAATATTCCTAGCTGGTCTGATGTTTGTTAGCATGAACGTGTGAAGAGCTAAGTACTACCTTCTTAGCCACAGTTCCTTCTTGCTTATAGAGCAGGTATTCTTCTATCCTGAAATACTCCATGCTGAGAAATCACTTAAGGAACATAAATATGGCAAAAATTCAAGTACAAAGCACTCTCAACACCTTTATTCTCCCTATTATTCAAAGTATTTGAAGTGCATTTATGCTTTAAGTAAGTGAGATGTCATGGAACAGCTTCTTTTTGAAGATGCACAGTCAAGAAGCAGTAGACTTCCACTACAAAGAAAAGCTGAGGTTTTATCCTTAAGGAGGAAAGCTCTTCAACCAGTACTGGGAAGAACACTGAGGTAGAATAGTTTCATTTCTCAATATTTAATCTCCATTATTAATTGATAAAAATGGAACAGGTTAAGGGGAAGAAAGACTGGTCAAGAAGATGGTGTTTCAATTATGTTTTAACTACACTAATCCTCCAACTTGTATAAATAAACTGCTGAGCAATAAAGCCCAGTGACTGCAGGCGAGCATTCAGTGTGATGGAAGTCAGTGACACTAATGCTAGCTATATGAATCCTGTACTATGTCACAAAGATGTTCAGAACAATGTTACAGTTAATTAAGTCACAATTCCCCACTCCAATGAGGTACCAGCTTATGAAAAGTTAGGTTTTTCAATTCAGGTCAAGATATTCCAATGGGAAGCAAGCCATAATCCCTAGCTCACTGCTGTGTTTTAGCTGCTGTGCAGTATTGTCCAAAAGGAGACCCTGCAGCCCACTGCATTTCTCATTACCCTCATGTGGCGTCTCAGTAATTCAGACAGCTCCCCTCCCAGAAATGCAGCATCCAGAGTACCTGACGTAGGCTTTAATGCTCATGCGTGAATTCTGGAGACTCGTGTCCACAGTGAGGTGGATTGGATTGTGCGCTTCCCGGCTGTAATATTCATGGATCAGGACAGAGTGTTCTGTGATGTCATGACCCGTTGCATACCTTCAAAAGAGCACACGTTGAGGAGCCATTCTTCCAACATTCAAATGCCCAGTGTTTGGTGGTGTTGGTATTTAACAGGTTTGTATCCTAAAACGCTGATTTCCAAACACTGAGCTGCAGAAGCATGCTAAACCTATGTATTTTAACTAGGAAATTTGTAGTTTTGTTGTCAGCTGTCCAAGAATTGTAGGAATCACAAACTGAGCACACACATGACTGAAACATGCACAGGGCCAGTGTTGTAGTACCAGCCATAAAGAATCAGTACAGTTGACTTCAGACACCCAAGATTCAACGATCTGTCACTATGGTCTGGACCAACTCTTTATTTCTGTGTAAGCCAAAGCATGCCAAACAAATTTGGACCAATCAAGTAGATCTTTCCCAAATCAAACATCTCCCTGCAGGAGGTAAAACTTGTTAATCTAGCTCCTTTAGCTGCTCTGCAATTAGCTTCTCACATGCCCAGGAAAGCTCCTGTCATTAGAACTGTACTTTGCTGTGCCATTAAAAGGTTGTTGAGGAAGTTTGGTCCACAGGAACAGAACTAAGCTGTTATGTAGGACTGAAGCACGAAAATATTAATGAAGCTATCTATCCACACCCTCACAGACTGTTCCCATAACACCTTGCTGATCTTGCTTAGTGTCCCCCACACAAGTACTTGCACCTTTCCTCAGTAGAGAACTTCTGCGTGCTCAAGATATCACAGATTCCTCCTGAGGCCTTCGGTACTTGAAACTACTCTTTTGCGTTCTCCCTCTTTTCTAACCAGATATCTTCTGTGGTGCAGGTTGTATTACAGGTGGCTAAGTTCTTCTAACAAATCTGTGCAAGTATTCTCTAACTCATCACTCCTCTGTGATACCTTTTCTAGATAGAAACAAAACCAAACCCTGTAAGTCTCTAATACTGTCTCTTCCTATTATGATTTGCAGCACTTTTATAACTCACTCTATAACAAGAGCTGCCTGATCTTAGCGTCACAAGCATTAGTGCTTCTGCTTCTCAACCTGTGACAAGGAGAATTACGTATTTCAGGTAGTTTAAGGGACCAACACAACTGCTTGCATGTTCTTGCGGAAGGAGAACTTACCAGCCCAAGATGATCTCGCTAGGAGACACCTTCTTGTGCAACTCATACATGTTTTTTGCAAATTCCATATCGACTGCCACCTGAGAAACAGAACAGGCCCAGGTCAGCCGGCTACAGGGATGCTTAACTCTGAGCTGCGGCCAACGCGGGCCCAAGCCCTAACACCGCCCTCGGAGGGAGCGCAGGGGCCGCCCCCGTCGGCGGCGGCCACCCCGCCCGAAG